TTCCTCTCTATACAAGAAGAAATCGTTTCCAGCTCCTTGCTACCAAATGCCTTACTCATCTCCTTAATTGGGCACACTCCACTTCCTGTTGCATTTTAAAAACTTGAAAATTTCAGATATCGAGCTCTGAGAAGCAGGGTGTTGGGAGGTGCCAGCATAAACATCGATTCTTGATTTGTGCACATTTACCAACTGAGAACCATTGCACCCTAAGTGATAGGGTTCCAAGCCGTAAAGTTAACCCTGGCAGCATGGAGATAGCGCTTCAGAAACTTAGGGGGTGGGGGGGAGTATTTGTTTCCATAGCGTTTATTTCAGGAGAATTATCCCGTAAACCTTGGAAGCTTACAATATCTGTCTTCAGAGATAAACATCTCACTTACATACACTTTGTAAGACAAATCATAAAACCTGTAAACAGCAAAATAATATACAGGTATCTGTAGCCATGGTGCAAGCAAGGGACTCCTTGGGGCTTCTAAACGCCTATAACGAAGTCAGGGTTGTTTTGAATAATAAAAGTATCTTGTCCAGACATAAAAGGGAACCTGAAAAAGAATATCCTAAACTCTCATTGTAAGTTGCTGTAGAGAGATCCTGTCTTCAAAAGAAAACAGCTGTTAACAGAGTTAGAGCATTTGAGAGCACATTGTTCAGCTCCATGTGAACAGCCTCAACATAGCCCTGTATGTACGTGTATCGCTCATTGTAAGTGTACAGTCATCAACACATCTCCATGGAGCTTCACTGGACTGATATTTTTTCAGATGATGGATTTAAAAAACAAAACATTCACGAGGAGTTATAAAGCATACTATATAAAAACATTACCTCTCGCTACTAAGAACCCATGCCCAGTGCCCAGCAGAACCATGAAAGGACTTACCGGAGAGCGCCATCAGGATGAGGGCCCACACAGGAGCCACCCCCCTTGCCAGCATTCCTGGGAAGGCCCCAAAAAGCAGGCTACCAAGTTGCTTATCAGATGGATCACCAGCCACGTTCACCTAAGAGCGTTCCTCTCTTTTCTCTCTCTCACTTTGCGCGATCCCTGATGGGTGAGTTTGCAACACTAAAGGGGACCAAAGGCACAACCAGGAGCAGCGCCACACAGATGTTCTGGAATGAATGCCGTCCCCGAAGCCTCACTTCTCCTCTGGCTTCTGCCCCTGGATCAGATCATGGCCAGCATTTCCATTTCCCTGACAGGAGAGCGGCTAAGTGAGTAATGTAATCTAAGAGGAGCCCCTAAGGAGAGGAAATTCCACACTAATATGATTTCCTTTACAGCCTTTACCTAAGGCAATGCTCTCGTGGACATTCAGGACACTAATTTCATTAATAATTGAGATCCAAATAGCTGTTCTAAATCAGACTTAGGCAGTAACGTCTTCGGTGTTCCGCGATGCTTATTGGACTCTTGAATTCCCCGAAGCTAGTGGCACCCTAGAATTGTCCAGTGAAGAACCACTGCTAGCAATACAATAAGGGAAAGGTGCTTTTTGTGTTTCCTAAGCTCCTTTAATTAAAAGAAACATTGATTTTTGATAAATAGGAGTCCTTCTCAAATTTTCACTGCCACGATTCAGAAAGGAGCCATCACAGAGAAGCTGCTTAGAGGCCTGCTGATAATGAGAACCATTAAAGTTTAGCCTCATCCAATTAAGCATTTTTGTTTCTTTTCATTTTTTGATTGAGTACCCATTTCCATTTTGTTAATAAGGAAAAGGCTTCCTAATTCTGTGCAATAACTCTATCACCCTTAGATGTTCTAGAAACAAAAACACATTTTGATACCACGTCCAAATGGGAATGCAGAGGGATAAGTTCAAGCCAATGGCTCACTTAGCAATTCTCCTCATCCTTCCTGGATTCCCTTTGCCTAGAATTCATGGAGTCCTCCTAATTTCCATCTGCCAATAAAATGTAGCTTGATCAGGTTCCTAATCAAGCTAACCTCACTGCTACTGAGTCAATTCCAACTCATGGGTAATGGGAGTTACAAACACAGAAAGGGAGAAAATTGGAATGAAGCCTGTAGGGTTAGGTTGGTCCTAGAGCAGGAACTCAAGGCTTTCTGTGTGGCTGTATAACTCGGCATAGAAGTAAACACAAGCCTAGCCTAATTCCATGTGTCCCTTTATTCAGACGTTTATCGACTAGCTTGTCAACTAGGGGAGGAGCCATGACACCCAGCGAGAAGTACAGCGAGCGCACAGATCTTGGTTTCTTTCTTTCTTTAAAAAAAATCATTTTATTGGGGGCTCATACAACACTTATCACAATACATACATACATCCACTGTGTCGAGCACACTTGTACATTTGTTGCCATCATCATTCTCAAAACATTGGCTTTCTACTTGAGCCCTTGGTATCAGCTTATTTTTTCCCTTCCTTCACCCACAAATT